ATATAGATATGCTCTAAATCTCACCCAAGTGTGCAAGGCCTGAGGTCACACTTACTTAAGATCTGGGCGCTTTTCCCACGAAATCCGCGCGTGCCGCTATCGAGCAGTTTCCGCCACGACTTATGCGTTGTGTACATGCCCGAGGAGGAAATTGTGAAAAAGAAGTTATGATTTATAAACAATATTAATACCTTGTTCATCCACAAAAATTTCTCTATCAGATAGCTTTAGTACTTTGCGATCTATCACCGGAAATGCATTCACGAGAACTTATGGTTGGACTGTGTAGAACTTTCAGCTAATCCTAATCATTAGTGCAGAATACATCGATTCCTCCAATTATTTCGCACAATTTGGCGTTAACGATTTTTTGATACCAATTGTGCTACAAATTAGAGTTCAAATGGTATTGGGACTTATTAATTAGCATCAATTGATGCAAAAAACTCGTTGACAGACAGACAGACGGACAGACAGACGGGCAGACAGACAGACGGACAAGAGGAATTCAATAGCTCTCATGCAGGGTGAGCTAATAATGCCTTGGTTATAACTTAGCACCAAAGGTGCGGAGTAACTCGACAAACAAACTTTTACAATTCTGCACCAATGGTGCAGAATAAACGAGTAAGATATGCATATATAATGATTTGCTATAACTTTATACCAAAGGTGCCGAATAATCGCGCAAAATATACAAGTATAAAAGTTATACAATTTTTGCACCATTGATGCAGAATAATCGAACAAATACATATCGTATTGTCATAATTTTGCACCAATGGTACAGGATAACCAGAAAGAGTAGGTATATAAAAATGATATATTTTTGCACCAAGGGTGCAGAATAAGGAGCCAAAATAAATATCTAATTTTGACATAATTTTGGTTTTCCTCCGGAGCCTTGAACTCGTGGTGTTAAATTTTTAACACCACCTTTCATCCAGTTATTCAGAACTATTGGTGGCATCGATTCTCCGAATTGTTTCGCATCATTTTTGATAACCGATTGTTTGATACTAACGGTGCTACTTATTACAATATTGGAGTACTTTCTCGATCAACTTTCCCAATTGATTCGCACCATTTACGTTCGGATTTTTCAATACCAATGGTGGGACTAAGTTATTCAATTATGGACATGGGGATTATTAATTAGCATCAATTGATGCAAAAAACTCGTGAACACACGGACGGACGGACAGACGGACAAGAGGAATTCAATAGCTCCCAAGCTACGCAGGGTGAGCTAATAATGTTACGTCCTAAAAAGTCAGTTCATGAAGCACTATGATCAAATTTTTAAAAAGATAAACTCTAAATGTGCTTTCAAACTGCAATTATGTAAGTAAACCAACTAACAATGGGTAAACTTTTATCCATTGTTAATATCAATATTTGTAAATATCAACTGTTTCAGGAGTGAACCTCACCCTTGGTAAATTCATCTAGAATTTAGAATACACGTTATGTTCAAAGGATTAATATTATTTTTAGGAATTTGAGTGGTAGCAACCAGGGTGACCAAAATTGATTGCGGAACTTGATACCAGGACTACTAGCAAAGCAGCGTAGTCCGATTGGACATGTGCGAGCTTATGCAACATAGAAGTTCACTAACCTCCTACGTTGGGAAAAGTGTTATTAATTCGAACAACATACCTCTTTTTGGCCACAGATTTCTACTCACGAAACATAGTTCATCAGCATGGAAATGATAAGTGCAAGCAATTGTGTGACCGTAGCACATGCTGTTACAAGACTGAGACACATTGTCACAGAGATGTCGATATCTTTCTCGTACGAAAGCAATTGTTGTAGTAGAATGAAGTAATAGTTTGTTATAATCATGGCGCCGAGTAGGGATAAAGCATACCACGGAATTAATTTTGATGTCGCCAGTTGAGTGGCGGTTAGTTCCCACGAGGTCTTGCTGAAGGTGATGTACCGCTTTGTGTACAATGAGTCGCTTAATTTTACAAAGCGTTTCAGTGCCTCGAATGGAGTGAGTCTTAAGGAATTAGTTTTAATGATCGCAGTGGCAATTGATAGTCGCTTTGAAATGGTCTTCATGCTGGTTCAAGTTTGCATTAATCTGTAGAATGAGATTTTCTTACTAGTTATCCCACGAAACGTTCGACGTAGTTAGCTCGTATGTATTTATGTATGGTAGAGGAAAGTTTTGTGAACGAATGAAGCAATCGTCGTGACGCAATTTAGAATTTATTTTTGTTGGCTCCCCGACCTGTAAATATATTTTGATACGAAAACCCGGTCTGCAACATTTGCATAACAATTTTGGCAAATTGGCAAATTGTCTGTATTCAAATGTTCAAAGTTCAGGGTACCATGTAGGGTTGCCGCGGGTAACGGGTCGGGTACCCGTTACCCGCATACCCGCACGATTCTTGCGGGTACCCGTTATCTGCGGGTAGCGAGAACTACCCGCACGGGTAACGGGTAGTTCAGTTCTTATTTAATTTTCGACATAAATCAGTTCAGAAAGAAAGTTAGTAGTAAGTTAGAACAAAAGCGTCAATTTATTATTCATCCATTTCAAAATTTGTCATTTGCCATTTGTCAGCAAAACTATCGTTAATAGCGTGCGTGTCTTTTCGGAAGCCTCAAATGCTTTTCACTTCCCGAAAATGCGGATAAATTATTGTTTCTCAAGAATAATTTGCCTCTTCTAAAATATCGGAAATAATTTGACTTGTATTTGTATATATTTATGTAAGACTGGCCAGATTTTAATTTGTGTTTTGAAGGTGAAAAACCTGAATCCGATTGAAAGAAAAAATGTTATTTGCAGACAGTTTTTCATGAAAACTTCGTTTAAATCTAAAAACTAAAAATTAAACGTTTTTTCAAGCAATAAAAAAATTAGGAATCGCGTGATACTTTCCGTCGCATGTCCACTTTGAAGAAAAATACTGACGGCAAAGTTAAATGTTTAAGTAACTGTTCGGCAACTTTTTTCCCACTCGACGTAAACCATGGTGGACTTTTAACTCTGCCCCCCAATAGTTTTCTTTAAAGAGACTATTCAACGGAAAGATAAGTGATAATTCCTAATTTTTTGTTTGACTTTTTGATATAATTTGCTAACAAATCCCGGAATATATAGCTTGAAAAAGTTCCACTGTATGTAAGCCAAAAAGTCTGGTTTCAGAAAGATCTTATTATGACATCTAGCAAATTATGGCATTCGTTACTTGAACAGCATTACTTATCTCAAACTACTGAACAACCGAAATAAGCAAATAATTGATTAAATCAATTTTACATATTCTGATGGCTGATTAGTTTTTTTTACTTAATTCCCATAACGGGTAGCGGGTAACGGGTACCCTCACGGGTACGGGTAGTTGTGCTGCGGGTAGCGGGTCGGGTAGCGGGTAGCATTTTCGCCACCCGCGGCAACCCTAGTACCATGACTAGCAAATTAAATTGTACGACATAAAAACTGTTTTATCTCGAACATTGGCCACGATAAGGAAAATTTGCAAGGTACTATGCCAGAAAGATTGTTGCTGGATACCGTTCATGTTTTTGGAAAATCTCAAGAAGATCAAAGGTCATAATTTTTGAGCAAAAAGCTCATTTTTGAACTATCTATGATTTTTTTTCCTTGGAGGCATTATTTTTTGATCGACAGCGCACCTAAATGCGAACACTTTGACATCTTGTTCAGTTCTCTACGATTTTTTTTAAAGAAATTTATGAATTTTTTTAGAAAGTGAATTTTGCAATTTTTTCTAAACTCTCCCATAAGCGCAATGTTAAACTTTATAAAATTCACATTTCAAAAATTTCAAAAATCAAAAATTCATAACTTTCTTCACAAAAATCGTCGAAACCTACGAAAGATATCAGCATGTTCACATTGAGTAGAGCTGTCGATCAAAAAATAAAGCCACAAAGGAAAAAATCATTAAGAGAGTTGAAAAATGAGTTTTTTGTCAAAAATTGTGACCTTTGACCTTTTTGAGATTTTCCAAAAACTTGAACGGCATCCAACGACAATCTTTCTGGTTTGCTACAGTATCTTGCAAATTGTCAAGCCCTTATCGAGGTCAATGTTCAAGATAGAACAGTTTTTACACCGTACAATTGAATTTGGTCGCCACTGTATGTGTACACAATTGGTAGCTTAACGTCATTGCTGTAATTAAAAAACTTAAGGCTTGGCCAGCATATTGTAACCTATGGACACGAGTGGCTGACGGGAGGGCTTAGTGCTCAACTGCAGGCGTTGAAGTCCAAGTTCAAATTGGTTTATGTGACCTACAATTAAACATTCGCATTTTCTTTCACAAGCTAGTTACAGTAAGTCTTCATGATTCTTTATATTAATGACTATACGCACATTTTGGTTTACTTATTTAAATGGCAAAATGTGTACCTCTCATATTCAGGGTTCGGAAAACCCCGGGGTTTTTGTAGAAAAACCCAACCCCGTGGGTTTTTCCGGGGTTTTTGGGGTTTTTGTGGGTTTTTGGGTTTTTGTGGGTTTTTGTGGGTTTTTGTAGATTTTGGGGCAGGTTGAACCAGAATTCCTAAAATTATTTATTAGAGAAAAACTAATTTAATATACGATTTTAACATGCAATTTTAACCGTTATCATTGATTTGGACTATTACATCGAAAATTTATGTTTGACATGTAAACCTGGAAATATGCAATGATACTTGGAAATTCAAGTCGCAAATGAAAATTCTCAAAATTTCAAGATGAGGCAGAAAAGTTAATTAGCATTGATCTACGTTGTAGTTTAAGGGATTTTGTTTCAATCTGCCTCAAAATCTTACAAAAACCACGGAAAAACCCACAAAAACCCGCAAAACCCCATTAAGCATTAGGGTTTTTCCGGAGATTTGATACCCCAAAAACCCACAAAAACCCCAAAAACCCCAACCCACAAAAACCCGGGGTAGCGAACCCTGCTCATATTCTCCTCTTGACGTTTAATAAATCTTCCAACGCGCAAAAGGGTCTCTCCATCAAAATCGTGACTTCATTTTATTAAACCAGCTTTCGCTATAAGCATTGGTGTCTTGAACAATTGGCAAGTTGTTCAAGTATAAAAGCATGTGCGTCATCATTGGGGCGAGTGGAAAAACATCCCGTAGCAAATACATGAGGAATTTTTGGTTATAATGGGGATTAGTTGGACTGGTTTCTTCTTCGTTTAATGACGAGTTGTCACTGTCGATCTCGGGGATTTTGTCTAGCACGTACTTTGGGATATCGACGTTATTTGTATGTCCTAATAGTACGGCAAAGTAACCGAAGGGGGACATAAGGTAGAACGGTGGGGTTTTCGGAACATTTTCTAACTTTAGAATTTTCCATGGTTCCAAACCTAAGAATGTAATCAAGGCAATTGTTAGGTGACCTCTTGGTTTCACAATTTAAAGAAATATCGAGACCATTACCGGTTCGGGATGTTGGGTTACTAACGCTGTTTATTGTAGATTGTACCAACGCGACGTTTGCACGTGTCCCGCATACTATCAAAGCTGACACCATTTTTGCGGACATGCTCCACAAATCCGAGCAAATTACAAATGCATGCAGCCATTTTATAAAGAATTTGCTGCCTTCCGATGTCCTACCGTAGTGCTCTATCACTTTTGCTTTTAAAAATTGTATTGCATGTCTTCGGCAAATGTAGTGCACAAATATCATAGCACGTGACGTTGTTAAATTTTCCCAGCAATCTCTCAAGTACACATTTAATGGTCCAATTTCAAGTGCGGATAGAATCCCCGAAATTAACGCTAAACTGGCATCGGTTTCCGCTCTTCTGATGCCGAAATGAATCTTTTGTGTGCCAGTGTACTCAGCATATCTAAAAGGTGTAAAAACAGACCAGATGTAAAAGGTTACAGGACGCGTGCGGTTCAGGAGTTGTATATAATTATGGATACTTTTTGAAGTAGAAATGAAGGAAGCTGGCAATCTCATCGACCGTGTGTCTATTTGACACAAATTCTGCTATTGGTATGCAGCTAATATCCTTGACGTCAGGCAAGGTCACGACGATTGCATAATAAAGTTGGCGGCTTCCAGTGTATGGCTGATGTAGTGTAGTTGTAAGTGACGAAGTTGCATCCATATGGAGCGCTGTATCCTTGTTCATCTTTAGCAATGTTCTTAAAATCCCAAATTGCTTCGCTGTGAATAGGGCAACTGTTGGAACGAAGACCGTGATACATATTCAATTGTTTGATACTGTGGAGGTAATAATGATATATCAACGTACTTACCAACAAATGGAAAGACGGAAATTTTTTGAATATAACCAACCAGTTTATACTCCGAGTGGCTACTCTCGTCCTCGTCTTCATTTTGAACTATTTTCTTTTTCCGTAAAGCTCCTTTCAAATGTTCCATTTGGTCAAACTGCGCCTTGCGAAGGACTAAATCTTTAACGAGATCTCCGTCCAAGTCGTCCATGGCCTTTCCCTAAGAATGTGTACACTTCCAAACTTCTAAGGTGTTACGCTAATTAAATATTGTGAGACAACGGAAGTTCGCGTACCTCCATCCTAATGCGACGAAGTGTGGCCAACTTTGGAATACCGACCATGTTTCCTTTCTTAATTGCAGTGGTGGGCGTTTCCTGGAATTTCTCGCGCCGGAAAACTGACCCTTTTTTACTTTACAATTCTTCTCGTAATTCCGTTCTGGATGTCCCACTTATCGGCCGAGTTACAGGTTTTGAAAGGTCATGATGCAGTGTACCGCGTGGCCTTAAATCATCATTTCCATTTTTACTATGCTTATATTTATTGTTTGTTAAGGACATCACTTACCACACCATTATTTTAGCGTCATCGAGCCCCCTTGGTTTGTTGTACAGGAAACAGTCGTATTTCATTTTGCACATATTTCTGACGCAATGTCCAATGGCTTTAACGTAGTAATTTGACGTGTTGGTTTCCGCATTATCCTTGTTCCAGTGTGCGACAAAGTGATCGTCGAAACTAATACTACAACCTTGAATCAACGAAGGCGTGGCGTTACTATTGTTTATTGATTTGCGAAACGCGTTAGCCCAGTCCTTAAATTTCATCCGGTATTGTCTGAAGTTTAATTTCTGACTAGTTTTACTTCCTGTATCTTTTGGTTTTACGAGATTCCAATCTTTATTAGCCATATAGACGGTAAATTTCTGAGTTATGACAATAGGTCCGTCGTATCCTGCAGGGTTTTAAACAAAATAATATGTAGGTATATTATGCTAAAATTTCAAATTAATCGCATCAGCCATTTCATTTTTATCATGTGTATAGACGGAGACAAGGGCGAAAGGAGTGACACCATCCCTAAAAATGACTTGATCTATGACATGGAAATGAGATTAACTTACGATCTATATTTTCTGGGTCACTGGACTCAGATGAATTAGAATCATGCTCAGAGTCTGTTGCTTTATTTTTTTGCTTCGTACGTCTCATTTGGCCAACGGGAAGTGTGACACCCCGAGCTGCCAAATCCTAGTACCGAAAAACTAACGAAATTGAACACCATAATGTAACGATTCGGTGCCGAAATTTATCAATGGTACCGATCAGGTACCGATCTGGTTGGGTATCAACGTTCACTAACGAGCACCGATTATACACCTACATTTCGGTGCCAAATCCGCACGGAATATTCAGTACCAATGAGTAGGCAATGAAATAGCGTTGATTTGGTGCTAACTGCGAAATTTCGGTACCTTTTCATTAACGAAGTAGCGTTGCATTTCGGTACCTTTTCGTCGGCGCCTAATCGTTACATACTGTGTAGCTCGGGACTACTATTAGTAGTTGATCCTGTACATTGATATAAAACACAAGACGTTCATAATTTGCATAACACTAGTTGGGTACTGAAGCTTATCAAACCGCTCGAATTTGCAGTTTCCTTGGATCCCGGTGTCGTTCTTGTAGGGGTTCTTCCTACATCATTTCACGTTTAAATGAGCAAATGTTGCCTTTATTATTACCAGGCGAAGATGATGGTGAAGGGAAACAACGTGGTGTTCTCATTCCAATTCTAGAAACATCGGGCGTGATATCATCCGTTACTGGAGGGACCCCCACACTTTCATCGTCTGAACTATATCTTGCAGCAGTGGCACGTTCACGATATCCGGGTTGGAATAAAGGAGGGACATAAGCCGCTGTACTATCCAACGCGCATTTGTTGCAAGTCCAAGTTTTAGTGCCTTGGTACCTTTTGACGTTCACTCCCATGCAGACACCGTGATACCACAAGAGACATGTATCACAAGCTAACATATCCTCCCCATTTTCGTCCTTGTACGGCTAAACATTTATGTATGTAGAAATTAAAAAGTATTACATATCTTCATTAATCATGTCTTTGGTCGGGGACTTTAACGATAGCTACATATATGCATACTTACAACCCCGCAAATACAATGAACTTCAATGTCGTCTTGGGTAGTTTCGCCAGTGCTGACAATCTTTTCCCCTTTCTTCTTACAAATAGAATTGAAGATATCCTATAAAAATGAAAGTACTAAGTTATCTCGGATAAATTCTCCCATAAGATAATAAATTTGTGACATTGTATTGAATTTGTACTCGAATTTGTTGCGTGTTGGACACCCATGCCGCTTTTACCCACCATCGGTCAAGTTGTTTATTAAATCTTTGCGAGAACAGTTCAAGGACAATGCGTCCCCACACTGAAGTTACCGGAAAGTGATCTTCATTTAGAAGGTCAATTCGCCCTCTAATAATTTTGAAGACGGCTTGCGCAAGTTTGAGCCATAACAGATTTCCATCGGGCAACGTCAGACTTCCCCATGACGGCTTAAATTGTATTAGGTTGTGATTCTCTTTCGAATAGAGAAGTTGCTTAGATGGCAGCGGACACCAAATAAAACTTGCCAATATTTGTCTTTTCTCAGCATCCCCAACGCGGAAATGGTACCATGAGATGCTGTCCTTCCGCGTGTCTTGATTACAATCCATTCCAACCATCGCAAAGGTATATAAGGTGCACATATTAACGTCAATATCACTTCTCAACATGCTTAACAATGTAGTTAAATTGAAGGTCAGCAAGTACTGTAATTGCACTAATTGTAATCACACACGAAACTTAATAATTTAATAATATAACTGCTTGCATGAGAGAGATATAATCACAAGTGTTTCATGCACTGAACGTGTAACATCAAGTCGGAATCAAATTTATTATTACGTTTTCATTGTGAAAATGCTGTTTTTTGGGTTTGTTTTCCGTAAGTAAATAACAACCAGTGGTTGCCAGCCTCGCAGCTTACTCGCGCTCCGGGTTTAATTTTTACTTTAATCTATTTCAGTTATCCCCATCATTTTGGTACAGGGTGAGACGGCATCTCCGAATCCTACCAATGGTCTTCAGGCCATATTTGACAAAATTTCTAAATACGTTGTGGAAATGGAGACCATCGCTCTGTGCTTTTTGGTTGGGATTATCATTTTAATACTTTCCCTTAGTTTCGTGATCGTTCGAACGTGGCAACTCACTTAACGTAACACTCGTTTGACGAAGGAGATGGCGCGAGAGCTTAACCTACTGTAACAAGATATTGATTAAAACCAACATTTAAAGTTCATAAATTTTGGATGATAAATAAATTTTTACACCTGTTTATATATACTTGCTTTATTTCACTTTGAGGAATTAAAAGAAAATGAGTTGTCCTTGTTCCTCGAGGTGGATGTGGTCATCGGGCAGTCATTTATTTATTCAGTCACTTGTATGAATTTGAAACGATAGGAAAGTTGTCTTATTTAAAAAAAATTATTCTCAAATCTCATCGTGATTATGATGAGATTTTCGCCTGAAGCGTCGTAAATGAGACAGATTCTCAACCTACCTCGTCAACTTTTCTTTCTGCTTCCTTGAGACTCATCTCAAAGCGATACAAAACTAAAGTCTCATCCATTACCACTTGAATCAGATAGCGCCTTATACTTTGCATGAATCACACTACAACCCTTTGAGTACTCTATGCATTTGTTAATTGCCTAAAAATTATCGTTACAACATTTCAATAAATTCATATAGCAGATGATTGGGATTGGTCATGCCTCATTTGAAAATTGAATTTGAAAATCAACACGTCATGATGCATCCGGAATCCAATCCATTTGCTACATAATTCACTTTTTATGTAGTCCCAAATATATATATGTGAAGCTTACACAAATTACTCGCAAGGTAAATAGTTATCCTATTAAGTCCTTCCTACATCTTGAAATGTAATTTTTATCTAACGCAATTGCTCGCAAGGTCAACCCATTAATTATTCTATTTAGTCCTTCCTACATCTTGTAACGTAATCCTTGTCTACCGCAAAAAAAATTAATCAGGAAATAAACAAATAAGTAATTACTGGCAAGTTGTTGCAGGACAATTTATACACTAAAATTATAATCGTGAGACCTTTCTATCAGCCTTGAAATTTTAAAGTTAACTTCCTACATCTGACTTGTTTAACTTTATGATTATGAATCACTGTTGTTTTTCATCAGTATGAATTTGTTCACATAATTGACTACACAAGAAACATGGTTTCCATAATATTTACCATTTTACTCATTTGGTTTGGTGGCATTCTAGCTAACGGTAAGTAATATATTGAGGCAATTCACGCACCCTTGGTAACTACGTAAACAGCGTAAAATCCGTAAACTTACGAACGTTTACAAACAGCTTCCCGTGAATTCACTTTTGTAATTATTTTCGTAAAAATTTATCTGATAATCGAAACAAAATGCCGATCATTTCCAGAAAACGGAAATTAATGGAAGAAATTTGTGAAGCTGCATTTATTGATATAATAAATAGTCCTACACAGGCAGATATCATTTTCGATAACGCGATAGATGATGTTCTGACCATTTCTACGTACCGTCTTTCTGTTCCACGATTATTTGTCCCGAAGTCAGATGATTGGTTCCGAAGAATCTTGCCAAACCACTCCGACGACTATTTCAAAAAATTTATGCGAGTCTCTCGAAAGGATTTCACTCTCATTCTGCGGATGATAGAAAACAGCAACGTCTTTAAGTCCAACAGTCGTCAACAACTAAAAGTCGACCAGCAACTCGCCATAACACTTCATAAGTTAGGGCATGACGGAACCGGAAGCGGGGTATCTACTACGGCAGCGTTGTTTGGAGTTGGTGGGGGTGGTACCATATTGAAAGTGGTCACTCGAGTTCTAAAGGTACACAATAGACTTCACAAGTATGAAGTTGATAGGAGTGTCTAAAAAAATATGTATTTCTCAGGCAATTTTAGAATTAGAAAAAGATTGGATAAGATGGCCAGACGAAACCGAACGATTGGAAATTGCAAGGAATATGGTTGACCACCTTCCAAATTGTATTGGATATATTGACGGATCTCACATCAACCTTGAAGAAGCACCACTGGATGACCCCGAGTCATATTTTACGCGAAAGCAGCGTTACGCCATCCAACTGCAAGCCGTTTGTGACAACAATAAGATGATCAGGAGCATTTTTGTCGGATATCCGGGCTCGGTTCATGATGCTAGAGTTTTTGCTAACTCAGAAATCGGGAAAATCCAGAAAAATTTTTGGACAGAGGTCAGTGGATTGCCGGGGATTCAGCCTACAAAAATACGGACTACATGATAACGCCGTTCAAAAATAATGCGTCAACTGGAACCACTGCGGAGAGACGGCGATTTAACAAGTATTTTTCGGGATTTCGTGTCAGCCTTTGATCTTCATATGTTATGTTAGGTGGAAACAAATTTGTCAACATCTTCAACATCTTCTTGGTCTTCCCCTACAAAAATTCAAGCCCATGCATATTTTAAAATTTAAGATGATATATTTTATATTTAGAGTGTTTAAAAAAATTACCCGAGTTGCTTTCAGGTATATGATTTACATTTTGAGCGGCATCGTTTTCACTACTATCTACGTATGATGCGCTTAAAAGTTTTTTCGCTTTGATATCAGAAAAATCATCTGCAAGCAATATAAATAAGAAATTTGAAGAATCGATTTCTTAGGACATTTCATTACTGAATTCCTTACCGTAACTCTTTTTAATTTCAACTTCCCAAATTGGCCAATGTAGATCAGGAGTTGAGCTTGAATCCTTCTGAATCTTGCGAAATCCTGTTGGTAGATTTATTGGAAATGGACACTTTTGTCTATCTTCTAAAATCCACTTATTTACTTGGCACTACTTCAATTGTTTTGCCAGAGGGAAAATATACAACTGAAAATTTTTGTTGCGACATTTTTGCAATGTCTGAAGGCACGACTGAACGGATAGATAATATGAATCTATGCTTGGCGGTTTTTTCAGCTTACACAAAAATCAATGCCTATTCGTCACCAAATCAGTACGGTGAATATGTATTAGTATGTTGTCACTTTTTAGGTACTCATTAGGTACCTCTTAAGCAATGAGGAATCGGTAGCACTTTATCTGCATATAGAACGTACAAATGTTGTAACGAAATATAAACGCTAAGCAGAATACCGATAAATTATTGTTGAAGTGGTGCATATTTTAAATGGCCAATCGTTACATTGAAAAACAAGTGACGTACAAACGTTGAACCAGTGCATTAATATAAGGTAACTAAAAATGATCGCTTGATCAGCAAAGAGATCATACTTATAAAGGGGCACCTTAATATAATTGTCAAATGATGGCATTTCGTCGGCAATTTCGTCGGCAAATAAACGCCTTTTGCGGCTCGGGTCCTGCTCTGACAGAGTGAACTAATATGTGTGAATAAAAATGCCCCTTTATTACAGGTTTAGAAAGTTTTTTTTTAATTTCTATTTAATAATTATGTATTGTACATAACGTCATTTAACTTGAATTGTAAAAACACCTTCGGGGGGGGGCAAAAAGTGATTTCGGGTGAGTAAAACGTGATTTAGAGTGGGTAAAACCACCCTCGGGTGAGTAAAAAGTGGTTTCGGGTGGATAAAAGTTGTTTCGGGTAGGCAAAATGTGATTTCGGGTGAGCAAAAAGTGATTTCGGGTGGCCAAAAAGTGGTTTCGGGTGAAAATAAAGCGTCTTCGGGTAAGTTCACGCGACTTCGGGTGTTCGGGCAAGTTCACGTTCGGCTTCGGGTAGCTTCACGCACATCTTAAAGTTGAGATCATAAACTCCAAATCCGGAGTGCATATTTTGAAAAATTGGCAACGAAACGACCTGCTCTACAAATTCGTTTACAGAATTTTTTAAAAAATTCCCAAAGCCGAGAATTCAGTTCTACGATTAGGAATTCATATTTTCATTAATTTCAAAATTGTTTTTGGGTGTTTTTAGTTACGATCGGATTATCCAGTGCGAGCTGTTCCACACTTCTAGTTTCTTGTCGGGACTCCATCGCAGAATCAAATTTTGCTACCAACCAATTAAAAATTGAGGAAAATTTTTTATATTGTTTAAAATCTGTTTTTAAAATATTGTAATAAGTAATATTGATTGATACTAACCTTGAGATTATGTAATAATTTGGGTGGCTGATAAATACTTGTGAAATCAAGTTATTTTAACTTGTCTAAATTAATTATTTGTACATTTTTTTGAATTTTCTCGAGAACACCATGGATTTTTGACGATGGGGCCGTGCATAATTCATGTACAGGTTTTGAAATAAGGATTTCTTGGTGGGACGTGTGTTAATTTATATATTGCATAACCAATAAATTAGTTGGGGTATTTACATATGTTATTCTAAATTGGTGACATGCTTGATGTCGAGTCCCTTCGGATATGTATTCCCTCAGAACTCAAACTCTTTGTTTCTGCATGAAAATTCTTGCAAGCTGGCTTCGCACATGTATATGTATATCTTACAAATTGTCAATTTACGTTATCAAATGCACGTCAAGAAGATGACCTAATAATGCTTCGTTAAGATACACTCTTAAAAATAATGTTGGTAAGGTGAAGTTTTTTCAAAAATTTATTAAGTAAAATGTTATCGAGTTCTCGTTACTCTGGATTTTGTCTAGTTTACTAAATAAAGAATTGATACAGAATTAATTTTCAAAACGGTTACATACTTCTGCAGACTTTAGTTAGGCAACAATTTACGATATGTGCAGAGATTTAGGGCCTGTGCATAAATTATGCAAAGCAAAAATCGCGATTTTCTAGACTGCCCACCTCCAACAACCGTAACATAGGGACCAGGGTTTCGATTGGTAAATACCAAATTGACCAGGGCAGCTGGAAAAAGTGGGAAAAAGGCATTTTTACCACCCACCCAAAATGGGTGGGAAATGGGAAAAATGGAAGAAATGGGAAAAACTCTGGTTTTGGGGCAATGCGAAACAACTTCTTTAAAGCTTAAGATTTTCAAAATTTGACTTCATATTCGTATTCTCCATCGAATTCTGAGAAAATTAGTTGGTAATACGGTTCAATTCGAACAATCTCTAAAATTAACATGTATTCATATGGGAAAATTGGAAAAATAATTAAAACTGATCAAAAGTGCCCGTATTACATATCAAAATTTTCAGAAATTCGTGGAGATCACGAATATGAAGTCCAATTCCGGAAATATTGATTATTAAAGAAGTTAGCGTTCCCCATAACTAAATACATGGACAGCCATATTTCCCATTTTGGACGGTAAAAACCGTTTTTCCCGGTTTTTACCACTTTTTCCCACCTGCCGTGGTAAAAAATCGTTTTTGACGGAAAAAACGAAACCCTGATAGGGACGATATCATTGGAGCCTTATACCCCCCTCCCTCCTCTCGCGTGACATAATTTATGGACGGCCCCTTATATAAATTATGGTTAGCAGAGTTGGGACTTTTGATCAGCTCCTCACCCTCCCCTCCCCTCACCCATTCCTCAAATTTTAAGTCCTCATCCTCCCCTCCCCTCACCCATTCCTCAAACTTTAAGTCCTCATCCTCCCCTCCCCTCACCCATTCCTCAAACTTTAAGTCCTCATCCTCCCCTCCCCTCACCCATTCCTCAAATTTGTAGTCCTCCTCCTCTCCTCCCCTCACTAACTCCTCAAATTTGTAGTCCTCATCCTCCCCTCCCCTCACCCATTCCTCAAACTTTAAGTCCTCATCCTCCCCTCCCCTCACCCATTCCTCAAATTTGTAGTCCTCCTCCTCTCCTCCCCTCACTAACTCCTCAAATTTGTAGTCCTCCTCCTCTCCTCCCCTCACTAACTCCTTAAATTTGTAGTCCTCCTCCTCTCCTCCCCTCACTAACTCCTCAAATTTGTAGTCCTCCTCCTCTCTTCCCCTCACTAACTCCTCAAATTTTTAGTCCTCACCCTCCCCTCCCTTTACCAGTTCCTCAAATTTCTACTCCTCACAGGGTCGTGAAATGACAAAACCGTCGATTTTTGAAATCCCCGCTCAAAACTACGTCTAAAACGGTCGAGACGAAAAATTCAACAATTTTCGACTTTGGCGACATCTACACGGTCCTGGTATCGTCACACGTCGAAATGATGGCGATTTTTGAAATCCCCGTCTAAAAATAAGTCTAAAACGGTCAAAATAAAAAATTCGACATCTTAGACCGTTTATGTCATCGCCGTAGCGCCGTGACTTTATGATCTACGACGCCCATCTTCGAACTCATCCGTACTTCAAAATTAGAAACACGTCGCGAACACCGCATGGCGAAATTTGAATCTGTTCTAAAGTTATCGTGGATAAAGACAGACAGATAGACGGACAGTCACAGAGCGGACAGTAGTATATGTATATATCTGTGTCTTACTCCCTCCTTTTACTCGGAGTAAGAGGAGTAAAGAGGACGAGGAGTAATTTACTCCTCGTCCTCTTATCCCCTCATCGACTCCTCAAATTTCTACTCCTCGTCCTCCCCTCCCCTCACTAACTCCTCAAATTTTTAGTCCTCGTCCTCCCCTCTCCTCACTAATTCCTCAAATTTCTACTCCTCCTCCTCCCCTCCCCTCACTAACTCCTCAAATTTTTAGTCCTCGTCCTCCCCTCTCCTCACTAATTCCTCAAATTTTTAGTCCTCCCCTCCTCTCCCCTCATTTTGGAGCAAAAACACTAGCTACTCCCTCTCTTTATTCCTCCCCCTCACTCAAAAATGAGGACGAGGGGCAAAAATCCCATCACTGATGGTTAGATAGCAAATATTTTTACTTGAAAAAAACAAACAATTTACTCATCAAAGCTTTATAATTAGGTAAACAAAAAATATAGGTATTAAATAAATACCGCACATTAAAGATATTTAATAATCAATTATACGCGAGTCAATTAAATGCTAATCAAAAACTTAAATAAAACTATTCTTAATCATCAAAAATACTTGTGCATACAATTAAAGAAAATTTGTTACCATACTTAATCCTAAATCCGGAGGGAACTTTACTCTTTATCAAGTTAACGTTATTCTGGATTTAGTATAGATAGTTTACTTATTAAAAATTAAGAATTGAGGGTGCATTTAGTTTTTCAAAGGGTGACATTATTCTTAAGAGTGCAGTAATTCACTAAAAGCTGCAAACATCTTCGAGCAGAAGAGAAGGTTCGGAGGATTGTGGCGTGTTCTTCAGCCCTGGTTGGAGGTGGTCTTCTTTGACGCAGGAATCTTTAGCAGGATGGATGTGTCTCTGGAATCCGAGCAGAGATACGAACGTCTTAGGACATTTGGGACACCGTAAAATATTACGGTTTGATTTATCCAAGTGGGTGTTCTGGAAAATAAATATTTACTGTGAATCGATCCATAGTTGCAAAAATTAACATAAGGCTTGATGATTAAAATCGGCACATTTATAATTATTTCTCGGCTCTGAGAATTGATTTTCAAAACTTTAAACGATGAATTTGTGTAGCAGGGAGTGTTAATGTTTTACAAATAGACAACCTCGAGATTTTGAAAATTTTTGAAGGAGATCTGGTTTAGGGATGCTACAGAAAAATTAGAACTCGACGAAACCTTAATTTTAAAAACTCCCCGCCATTCCATCAAGTAACTGCTGACTACAAATTTACCGTTCAGAATTTTAAAAAAGTTCCCAGAACGGAGATAAAATTCAAAATTTCAAAATTCCGAATGACAAATTTGTACTCACAGTGGAACCTTTTTCAACTTACATCAGAGTTTTCTAAAGGGTTATATCAAAATACCAAGCAAAAATTTAGAATCACGTGACACTTATGTAACATAAGTTATGTTTCCGTTGAATGGCCCCTTTGAAGAAAACTATTGCTACAGAGTTCGCACGTCGGGCGTAGTTTCCCCCCCTGAAGGAAGAAACGAGAGATCATTTATGGACGTGTTGACCCCCATCATTGTTGGTGAAAGGGGTCTTCAATGGAAAGATAAATACCATGCTTCATGAGAATCCTAATTTTTTATTCGATTTTTGACATAACTCGCTAGGAAATCGAGGCGCGGATTGACAAAAGGGTACAATTGTCAATAAATTGATTAATAGGATTAATAGGATGGGGGTGATTAAAAAAAATAACATCAACATGTCCCGATGGGCTCAAACTTTCTGTAACCATTTTAAACGTTAAGTTTTCTTCAAAAAGTGCCCAAAGTTGGAGTGTATATTTTTCAAAAATTAGCAACTACCTGCTCTACGTACAAATTTATCTGGCCGATTTCTAAATTAAATTCCGAGAGCCGAGAAATGATTATAAATGTGTTAACTTTTACTATGACTTCCACGTTTAAAAAACTCATTAAGTTTATCCCACATTTTTACCTCATGTTTCTTCAAGTGTCCCGTCCTTTTGAAACTCTTGCCGCACGTGGAGCACGCGAACGGCTTCTCGGTCGAGTGAACGACGGCGTGTTAATCAAGATGCTGCCTAATCTTGAACACCTTCAGACAAACTTTACACCGAAATCGGACCGGATTTTCGGAATATTCAATTCTTCCGTGCGACCTACAATCTCCTTTTCTTAGGTAGGATTTGTCACAACCGGGAAATCCACATGGGAAACGGGGACGATTTGTCGAGCTATGCACACTTTCCACGTGTTTCTTTAACGCCGGGGTGTTGAAGTATGTTCGTCCACAAATTTGGCAACGTGGACGATCCCGCTTGGTGTGCATATTCCTGTTGTGGAAATAAAGGCAGGCGGGATTTTTCAAAATTTTACCGCAAATCTACACAATACAAGAGGGGGATATAGAATATTAAATTCGACAACGTCGTATGTAAGACTGGATAACTCATCGCTAAAATCGTAAAAATCACAACATTTTTAATCATTGCTTGGCTCAGGGGAATTCAAAAATTTGCCAAGCAGAGATTTGATAAGAGAAAAAAAAAATTACTCCAGATTTTGGGTTCTTGAGGTAGCTCTTTCTTTTTGGAGACAATTTTGAGAAATTTAGAAAATTTAGAAAAAATATATAACTTCCCGAAATGACCTAAATTGACCTAAAAAATCACTGCCCTACTGTTATGCAAGCAACTTATTGACTACAAATTTGCCGTCCAGATTTTAAAACAAATTTCCAGGGGCGAGAAATGATTAAAAATTTGTCAAATATTTTGGTGACGAGTCATACATAGAGTTCTAAATTAAAATTTGCAAACTTAAATTAAAGGCACACCTCGCATTGTACTTTTGCATTTTGATCGTGCGTTTCCACGTGCAGATTCAAATTCTGCTTCGACTGGAACGTCTTCGGGCACGTGGGACACTCCCATATCTTCTCTGAGGATGAGTTGACATTCGGCACGTTTTGGGAAACCTGTAGAATTTATAATGCGACAATTCACGCAGGCCTTGGTAACTCGTAAAATCTGTGCGTTTTGTAAAATAATTTTGCAAAATTTTACAAAATAAATAGACTGAGAGTTTACAACTCTTAAAATTTGTAACCTAATTTTCCTTAAAAATATGACTAATATGTTGTAAAAGTTTGGAAGTTTATGGAAGCCACGGGTTTTACAAGGTTACCAAGGACTGCGTGAATTTTTTAAATTTACCAGCACATTGTTAATTTCTTAAAATGTGCTAAAATTACCGTTTGAAAAGGTGCAATCTCCAATGAATTCGTTCCATCGAAATCTAGATATTTATTACGATTATTAATAAGTTTTTAAAAATTTTACGATTTTGAAACCTCCCTGTGTTCTATTGAAATTAATATTTTGTTGGATCGAAAAATTCATAATTTTTACTTTTACAGTTAGTGGGTTGGAATTTTTTTCTTGCATTTTATAAAAAACCCACGGCGATCAACAGGTTTCAAAATCGTCATTTCAATAAATTCAAAAAGGAATAGTTGATACAAAAATTCAAGCTCAAAACCCGCATGCATAATTAATGTTTATGAGTTACCCAAACTCATGATGGTGACATTACGAGGGTCGAATCTGTCAACGTGTTCTTGGTCCGGACGGGAAATTGGGTCTGCGACAAGTTCCATGCTGTCCGTAATCTCTGGAAGGGCGGAGCAGAGCTCGGCCAGCGTGTCGATGAGGGGGTCACATCCGTCGGGGAGAAAGGCGTGGCCAAAGGACCCTTGTGCTGCAAACGTGGCGAACATCAAGGCCTCCGTGGTCCAAGGGAGGGACAAGATTTCGTCCATAAAATGAACCAGTTTTGAAATAATGTCGCCCGGATTTGTATTTGTATCTGTAATTAAAATTAAGGAATAAAACATCAATTTGCTTAACCCTATGACTAACTTCCAGAGCTTTTTAATTAGCCACATTTCTAATTAATTATGTAGTAATTGATAGTTAGAAGGAAAATATTTCGTTTAATTAATTGGTAATTAGTGATTAAACCCAGGTTGCGAATCTAGCCAATTAATAGGCCAATTAATTAGTGTATTTACCAATTAATTGGTGATTTTTTTAGAAATTTTCTAATTAATTTGTAATTAAAATTAGCTTCGGTAGTACTAGTTAAGGTTAATTAGTAATTAATAGTTAGTTTAAACGTGGTATTTAATTAGATAATTAATTAGGTTCACTAATTAATTAGTAAAATAAATAACTAATAACTAATAAATTAGTAGCCCTGCTAACTACAAGAAAACACATTAATTCTTGGACGTTAAAAAAGATGTGTTGTGGTCATGGTGTGGGAGGAGGAATTCAGGAGTTTTAACAAAACTCGAAAAACTTGAAAGATCAAAAATTTGACATTGCGAAATATGGAAATTTTCGAGAAGAAAATGTTCAAATTTAACATTTGGTTGACATAGAAACCCCTTAAAATGAGAAAATTGACGTTGCGAAGAGAAAATTGTGGAAATCCATGATTTTCCAGAAACGATAATTGCCTTCCTCTTGCACCATGACCACAATTTTTCAAGAAGGGTTTAGTGTTCCTCCGGAATTAAACTATTTCTTACAAAAAGGCGAATACTCTTCGCTACGAATTAAAAGGTTAAGAAGGAGTTGTAATTTAAATCAAATAATTTAATTTAGAATATTTTAAAAATATTTACAATTTACTCACAAAATTCATCTGGCTCGATAAGTATTCCAGCACGGCGAGCAATTTCCCCGATTCGGTTTCGACTCTTGGACAAATAATCCCTTAGTGAGTTAAACTCGGTGGATAACTCGACGACCGGGTCAGTTTCCATGGCTTATCTGTAAATAAATGTTTAAGGATTTCAACATTTATTTAATTATAGGGGGTCGTTCATAAATTATAAAAAACAATTAACATAACAATTACCTGACAATTAGATAATACACTGATTTAGAATTCTAGAGGTTGATGAGATCTAAATACATAGAAAAAAATGAAATATAATTTCAACTTTGTTAAGGCCATTTCACATTTTGATAAATAAATAATTTCAGCACAATGAGTATTATACATAGATTTAATATTACCTACCTGGTAATATTAAGATCCTTTTTTGGTGTCTCTTGCTCACGAATCCAGCTCACGAAGAATTCTCGTCACGCGGGTGAGAAATACCGGCGCTGGAGTTTGAGGGGTATCGTGCGACGCACTGAACAAATTATGTATTTAATATCAGTAAGGTCAACCTTTTTGTTATTTCTTCATGCCTTTTTGCTCGACTTTTGACATTTGAACCCGATTTCTTGTCTTTTACCGCGTATTAAATACATTAAAGAAGATATTTAATGTGTTTAAAATTGTATTGGAGGGTTCTGGCTTTTGTCGATACTTCAAATTTTTGTTAATGTTTTTACATCGCGTCATCAGCTTAATTAATCAAATTTTGGACTAAAAATCATATTTGGGAAAAGTATAAAATTGCAATGAATAACTTTCCATTTATTTTTATCTCAGGTTTTGCGTCTCATCTCGCCCCAATTAGCAAAAAGGCAAACAGGCATCCATTTTTGTGGGGCAAAATAGGCAAAAAGGCACTGCCACTGCCTGCCTTTTTGCTATGCACATGCACACACTGCTTATCACTGCTTATTTATTGTGTTTATATTTTGAAGTTTGGATTTCTTATCGGAATGGTGTGTTGATTTTTGAATTGCATGACCAATAAGTAAGTTGGTATATTAATATTATTCATTTTTTAAATTGGTGACATGATTTATGTCCGGTCCACTCGGATATTTTATACCCTCATAAATCGACCTGTTTGTCTTTCTGCATGAAAATTCTCACAAGCTGGCTTCGCACAGGTCGCAAATTTTTATTAAATTATTTATCATGGGAACGTTACACTCTTAAAAATAATGATACGTTTTTAAAAGTAATAGCAGTCTGAATTTCAAATTAAGTAAACATAAATCCAGACTTCCGATCCGGTAACTTAATGAATTGTATAGTTAGCTCTGGATTTAATATAGTTCTACTTAATTTAAAATTCATGCTTTTTGAAATAGCAACATTATTTTTTAGAGTGTATAAAGATGGCCTTGTGCTACATAATTAAGTTGCATTTAGAAAATTGCTCGAAAAGTGTTGTATTGGAAAAAATTAGGAAACATTTTGATGAAAGCCGTCTTCAAAAATATTGACCCGTCTTCGAGCTAAAAATCGGAGACGGAATTTCTTTTCCAAATTTCGAACCCCTCCCCCTCCGCGAGGGGGCGGAGTAGATCCAAATTATTTGCATGGCTGAATTCATAAGAATCACCTCTATAAAAGCTGAAAATCTTATCCTAATCAAAATTTCGAGTGTGTAAATTCAGGTTTTAATTATTGTTCATATGTGCATACTCTAGTTGGTAATGATTTACTTCCAGATTTCTTACAGTGTATATTTTTTTAAACAATTATTTATTACCATGGCTTTGTAAGGACATAAACATAAAATAACGGTAACTACATATATGTATATTAAAGAAAATAGATTATACTGAAGTCAAGTACTTACATACTAATCAAAATACGCATAAAAACTAATTCAATGATAACTAAAATGTGTACAATCGTTTATGCATAAGTTAACGTTACTCTGGATTTAGCATAATTTACTGAATATAGAATTGGGAACGAATTTACATTTCACAAGGGTTATAAATATGTATGCAGAGTAAAAACATATACGTAAGTTACACTGGAGTCAAATAGGAACATTGCATAATCAAAAACTTACATCAATAAAAATCGTACTTAATTAATGTACTGCATAAATGTTAAGAAAATTTGTAATGATTCTAAGTATGTAAAATATAAATCCCGAGCAAACTCTACTCTTTATCTACTAGTTAACATTACTCTAGATTTTGGATAGTTTACTTAATTTAAAGGTCAGAGTGATTTTAGTTTTCAAAAGGGTGCAATTATACCAGTTCAAAAATTTAGTTTTCATTCAAATTTCAGTCTGATTGATAATTTTCATTCATATTCAGTCATTTTCTTTCAAATTCATTTCATTTCACTTTATCTGACTTCACTTCTTACTTTGCTCCATGTATTACATCAGCGTAGGGTGAAAAATGAAGAGTGAGAAATCTTTCATTCATCTGAAATGACATAATCTTTCAATAATTTTTACTCAATTCACAGGAAATTCATTTTCATTTAGTACCACTCACCATCATAATCACTCAAATGGATGAAGGTGAACAGGTATAGGTGTAGTTGGTTCCCTAATTGCTGCAAATATCTTCGAGTGGAAGAACGGAGTCGGAAGATTGTGACATCTTATTCTTTTCATCTTGAACAATTTCTGGGTGGAAATGCCTCTCAAATCCAAGAAGGCTCATGAACTTCTTTGGACATTGGGGACACCGGAAAATTGGCCGCTTCGATTTCTTCAAGTGGGTCTCCTGTCAAATAGGTAAATATTTATGAATCCCTCATTGGGAACGTCTATATATTACGTCATAAAAAAGTGGGTGGGTGGTTTTGGGTCGCCCATCTTACTCGTGTGAAGCTGAACATTATTAGGATAGGGAGAGTGGGTGGTGCAAAAATCGGTGTTTTATTAATGTATGGACGTTCCCATTCCAAGAAGTAATGTATAACTTGTCAACTAATCGTCAAAATCAATATCAAAATCACACATTTTAACTAAACAAACACATTTTAAATCAATTCTCGCTGCAGGCAAGGGTTCTGAAAACCAGACGGGTTTTTCTAAACCCCACGCCGGGCGTTTTTCCGGAGAATTTGTAAATTATGGGGCAGGTTGAAACAAAATTCTTAAAATTATATAGTACAGTAAAACTAAATCAATATTCAAATTCAGCATGCAATTTTCATTACTTACATTGACTTGAGCTTTTTAAGTCAAAAGTTCGTGTCTAACATGTAAACCGAATAAGAAATTATTTAGAAATAGAGAACATATATATATAAAGTATTGAGGCACCAATCAAAATCAAGATTATACTTTTTATAAATTGTCAACAAGCTGCGCCAGAAATTTGTCAGACAGAATTTTCAAATAATTTCGCAGAGTCGAGAAATGATTAAAAATTTGCTGATGTTTGAGTTCTAATTAAAAAATTTAAACATTTTATCCTCCATTTTTACCTCATGTTTCTTCAAATGTCCCGTCCGCTTAAATCTCTTCCCGCACGTGGAGCACGCGAACGGTTTCTCCTCTGAGTGGGTGACGGCGTGTTGCTCGAGTTGCTGGCTCATCTTGAACACTTTGAGGCAAATTTTGCACTGAAATCGGACCGGATTTTCGCAATGTTCAATTTTTTCGTGGATCTTGCAGTCGCCCCGTCTTTTGTAGGACTTTTCACATTCAGGAAATCCACACCGGAAACGAGAATGATTTGTCGAGCTATGCATGTTTTCCACGTGTGTCTTTAACGTCCGGGTGTTGAAATAAGTCTTGTGACAAATTTGGCAGCGGGGACGGTCCCGGCTTGTGTGCCTGTGAAATTTATTTAAAAATGCTATGAAAAATCCGTAGAACAGATCGTTGCCAATTTTTTTTAGAAATATACACTCCAGATTTTGAGTGTTTTGAAGACATCTTAAGAGACCTTCAGAAAAATTTAAACTCTGAAATTGGCTGACTCTAATTAAAAAAAACGACTTCCCGTCATTCTGTTCATCAAATTGTTGATAATAAACTCGCCGTCCAGAATTTGAAAATAAATTTCCTGCGCGGAGAAATGATTAAAAATGTGTTGCTTTTGACGATAAATCATTAGTAGTTATTTAGTATGTTAAACATTTCAAATCTTAATTAAGGCCACACCTTGCAGGTTACTTTTGCACTAGGATCATGCGTGACCACGTGCTGGGTTAAGTTCTGCTTCGTTTTGTACGTCTTGAAGCAGGTGGGGCAACTCCATCTCTCCTCTTTCTCGAGATTCGGCACGTTTTGGGAAACCTGTAAAATTTACAGTCAGCAAATTCACGCAGGAATTGGTAATTCGTAAAATCCGTGCATTTCGTAAAATAATATTACAAAAATTTACAAAATAAAGAGACGCCCTTGATCTGAGAAAGTTTACGAATAATTTCCTAAAATTTGCAGATAAGTTGATTTTCCTTAAGAATATAATTAAAATTTTGTAAAAGTTTGAAGTTACGGGTTTTACAAGGTTACCAAGGAGTGCGTGAATTGAGTCATTTTTTATCTACACACACGCTCAAAAATTTGTCAATTTTTTTAATATGCTAAAATTACCATTGCTGATGAAGTCGAAGTCTCGAATGAATCCGCATCCTCGGAATCTATAAATTTACTGCAATTTTTAATATATTCTCAAAACTAGATAATAGTAAGAACTTCTTACTAAGAAGTTGTTTTTTCGACATTTTTCTCCTCAAAATTTGGAACTTTCCTTATACCGAATAATGCTAGAAATAGATTTTACTGGTGTTTCTCTTCAAAAAATTGCAAAATTGGAAACTAGTTAAAATAAGTATTTCTAGGAAATCACGAAAAATTTGTGATTATGAAATCGAAGAGAAATTTTGTACAAAAAATTAGTATCTATTACGAAAGCGGTTAATTAATTTATTAATTACCCAAAGTCGTGTCACGGGGTTTCAATCTGTCACGATCCTCACCACGCGCATCATCGTCTTCTTGGGCCGGACTGTCGACTGTTAATTGGTACAAAATTAGTACATAAAATCCACTAAATTATCACAAATTAATTGGTACAAAATTAGTACAAAGGAATAAGTGAATATTTAGTGCGTATTTGGTGGCACTAAATTCTCATCAGTTTTCTTGCACTAAATTCATACATAATTCATACCCGGGAAGTTGTACAAGACCAAATGTAGTAAACAGGTGCCAGAATATTCGCACAAATTTCGTATTAATTAATCTGCAATATTTTTGTACTAAATTAGTATCATTTGTCCATTTTCCATTAAATAAACGAAGCACGAGTC